TCAAACCCAAACAGTATTGGGACGGAGTTTAAATGTATATGTGCAGAAACGTGTAGAAGAAGAAGATGAAAACGTGCAGAAAATGTTAGCTGGAATCAGCTCAGTCTCATCCTTAAGCTTATCTTTTATTTTTGAATTCTTTCCCCTAGTTTATCAGTAGTTCAGTTGAAAATTTTATGTATTCAAACACTCATTTGCAGCAATAAGAGGCATCTGAAATTTGCAAACAATTTGTGGTTCTTCTTACCCAAACAAGAAAAATTTCGTATCAAATTAAACAAGCTTCTAATTGAGACGTATCAATTGGTATCAGAGCCATGGCCACCAATAAGGAAAGAATAGAAAACTTGGAAAACAGTGTGGGCAAAATGCAAGACCATCTCAGCCGAATGGAGGTCGGCCTGGTCGACCGCATGCTTCAGCTCGAACATACAGTCCGACGACTTGCTAACTCCCTGATGCTCAATAGGGAGGGTGCTAGCAGCAACACCACCGACCGTCCCAGGCAATGGCATCTACCTCGCGAAGAAGTTCCCGAGCGGACCGAAGAGGAATGATCGATGTTCGGTTCCAAAATCACAAAGCTGGACTTCCCCACCTTCGACAGAGACGACCCGACCGAATAGTGTAACCGAGCTGAGCAATTCTTCGACTTCCACAACATCACCGACAATCAGAAGGTCTCCTTAGCCTCCTTTCATCTGACGGGCGTGGCAGTGGCTTCGCAGCACATATAGAGAAGAAGGGAAAGAGGTCACATTGGCTATCTTTTAGGAGGAACTTTGGGCCTAGTTCAGGCCGACGGAGTGCGAAGACTTTGATGAGGCCCTCTCCCGTGTGAAGCAATCCAGCCCATTACGCGAATACCAGAAAGAGTTTGAGAAGTTGGGAAATTGAGTGCAAGGCTGGACCCAGAAAGCGCTAGTGGGCACTTTCATCAGCGGGCTTAAGCCCGAAATTGCGGAAGACATCCGCATGTTTAGGCCCACAACACTGAAAGAGGCCACCAGTCTAGCCCGCATGAGGGAGGAACAGCTGAACCGGCAGAAGAGGTTGGTCCAGGTCCCTCAAAACCGGACCGGTCCACTAGAAACCCTAGCTGCCACAAACGTTCTACCCCGACACCTCTCCTAGAATGAGGCACAACGCTGCCAAGCGCAGAGTTTGTGCTACCATTGCGACAAGAAGTTCACCGCAGGCCACCGATGCAAACAGCCGCAATTCTTGCTCCTTGAAGGCGAGAATGAAGAAGACGAAGAGGAAGCAAGACCCAAGGAACCAGAAATCTCCCTCCATGCCCTCACGGGGTGGTCGACTCCAAAAACCATGAAGGTTCGCACCAACATTCAGAAACAAGAATCCATTGCCCTCATCGACAGTGGGTCAACTTACAATTTCATCAGTGAGCGACTCGCCAACTTTCTGCAGCTATTAGTGGTGCCGACACCTCCCTTCCCGGTCAAGGTCACAAATGGCGAGCCGATGAGATGTTGAGGCCGCTTTGAAGATATCCCGGTGCTACTAAACGATATTCCTTTCTGACTCACTCTCGTTGCTTTACCATTGATCAGGTTGGATTTGGTTTTAGGCATCAGTGGTTGGGAAGTTTGGATCCGGTCTATTGTGACTGGAAAGTCGGGACGATGGAGTTCACCAAGGACCGCCGGCTCCACCGCTTGCAAGGCATGCAGACCGAACCGATACAACCCACTTCCGGTGACACCATGGCCAGAGAGCTCAGCAAACGGCCCTCTTTGTTTGCCCTCTGTGTAAAGGTCGATGCCTCCACCACACCCACTGCCGAAGTCAAGCCTGATATGCAAGCTGTTTTGGATGAATTCCAAGCAATCTTCCGCACACCTGATTCACTGCACCGGCCAGAAAAATTGACCACCACATCAACCCTCTGCGAAGGGGCTGAACCGGAAAATGTCCGCCCATATCGGTACGCTTACTTTCAGAAGGCTAAGATAGAGAAACAGATGGATGCAATGCTTAAGACCGAGCTCATACAGCACAGCACAGCACTAGCCCTTTTTCATCCCCGGTATTGCTAGTACGGAAGAAAGATGGCACCTAGCAATTCTACACCGATTATAGTGCTCTTAACGCGGTCACCATCAAAGACCGCCTTTCCTATCCCAACCGTGGATGACATGCTCGACGAGTTACATGGTGCCGCTTTTTTCACTAAATTGGATCTCACAGCTGGGTACCACGAAGTCAGAGTATACCCACCTGATGTGTACAAGACCGCCTTCCAAACTCATAGTGGTCATTATGAATCTTTGGTAATGTCCTTCAGCCTATGCAACACCCCCTCCACATTTCAGGCTCTCATGAACGACATATTCTAACCGTTTCTCTGTAAGTTTGTTCTAGTATTTTTTGATGATATTTTGGTATACAGTACTACTTGGACTCTCCACCTTGATCATGTGAGATAGGTACTAGAAATCTTAAAACATAATCAATTCTTTCTCAAGCTAAAGAAGTGTGAGTTTGGGTTACAAGAAATTGAATATTTGGGGTACATTATCACCTCTGACGGAGTAAAAGTTGATCAGAAAAAGATTCAGGCTATGACTCACTGGCCTCCACCAAGCAACACCACCGAACTCATAGGCTTCTTGGGCTTAACAGGGTACTATAGAAAGTTTGTGTGCAAATATGGACTCTTAGCCCGACCATTGACCAACCTATTAAAAAAGGGAAATTTGAATGGACATCGGAAGCAGGGGAAGCATTTGAAAATTTGAAGAAAGCTATGACCACCACCCCAACATTAGCTTTACCCAACTTCAATGAGCCATTTACCATTGAGACAAATGCTTCAAGAGAGGGAATTGGGGTAGTCCTCACTTAAGATGGAAAACCCATAGTCTACATGAGCAGGGCCCTCGGAATATCAAAGCAGTCTTGGTCCGTCTATGCAAAAGAAATATTAGCAATAGTCGTGGTTGTACGACTCTGGAGACCCTACCTCCTTGACCATAAATTTTTTATCAAGACAAATCAAAGAAGTCTCAAATATTTTATAGGGCAAACCATCACTACCCCAGAACAACAAAAATAGATGTCCAAGCTTTTCGGGTATGACTATGAGATTCTCTACAAAGCAGGAAAAGAAAACTCCGCTGCAGATGCCCTCTCCCGTAAAAAAGGAAGCCCTGTCTTACATAACCTATCTGCTCCCCATTGTAATATCTGGGACAGCATTCAGAATGCAGCACTTGAGCATCCTTATATGTAGAAACTTAAGAAACTAGCCTCTCACAACCTAGGGCAACTGTACATAGAGAGAAATGGGCTGGTCTATTATAAGAATCAGGTAGTGATACCCCAGATACTAAGATTAATCAACAATTACTCCAAAAATTTCATAACTCTTCATTGGGAGGTCATTCAGGCCACTCAGAACTTACAAACGCCTAGCCCAACAATTTTACTGGCCCACAATGCACAAAACAATTCACTAATATGTTTCGGCCTATGACACATGCCAAAGGGCAAAAGTGGAAACTCTCTCCCCGGCATGTCTTCTTCAACCTTTGCCAATTTCATGTCAGGTATGGGATGACACACCATGAATTTTATTGAAGAACTCCCCCTTCCAATGGGAGAACTGTCATATTTGGATAGTCAATAGCCTTAGTAAATCAGCTCATATTGTTGCTTTATCTCATCCTTTCTCAGTCAAGACTATAGCCGAGAGATTTGTGGACAGTTTAGTAAAATTGCATGGCATGCTTACATCAATTGTAAGTGTTCTGGACCCAGTATTGATTATTCATTTCTGGCAAGAGTTCTTCAAGCTCTCAGGAACCCAACTAAAGATGAGCTCCTCTTATCACCCGCAAACATATGGGGCAATCCGAGGTAGTCAACCGGTGTCTCGAACAATACTTACGCTGCTTTAGTCACCAACAACCTCGCAAATGGAGCGCAATACTTCTATGGGCAGAATTTTGGTACAATACTACCTATCACTCAGCCATTGGTATGTCCCCGTTCCAGGCTCTTTACGGCCTCCCACCACCTGTCATTCCCAAGTACCAACCAGGTACAACCTCTGTTGACGAAGTTGATGTTCAGTTAACTACTAGAGATGAGCTAGTCAGACAGCTCAAGATCAATCAGCAAACAGCACAAAACAGAACAGTTCTCCAAAGCCAAGAGACGCGATGTTCAATTTAAGGAAGGGGACTGGATATTTCTTAAGCTACAACCCCACAGACAGCAGTCAACCTTCAAGCAGGCTTCTCAAAAATTGGCTTGTCGCTTCTATGGACCCTACAAAATCATACAAAAGATCGAACCGATCGTATGCAAACTAAACCTCCCTTCTGAGGCCCGAATACTCCCAGTCTTCCATGTATCCATGCTCAAAAGGAAAATGGGAGACACCCCCAATTGCCCGGATGCACTACCAGCAATGACAGATGAAAGCGACCTCATTCTATAACCAGATGCCATCCTTGATGCCTGTTGGGCAAAGCACGACTCCCGCATTGTAAAAGAAAATTTGGTCCAATGAAAACAACTGCCAGGAGAAGATACAACATGAGAAAATGCTGAAGCACTGCAAGAACACTTTGGCAACCTGAACCTTGAGAACAAGGTTCCCAAAAAAGGGGGAGGCAATGATAAACCGCAAAGGCCACAATGTCCCACCATCAAACCCAAACGGTATTTGGACTGAGTAAAAGCACATGTGCAGAACGTGCAGAAGAAGAAGAAGAAAATGTGCAGAAAATGTTAGCCGGAATCAGCTCAATCTTATCCTTAAGCTTATCTTTTATTTTTGAATTTTTTCCCCTAGTTTATCGGTAGTTTAGTTGAAAATTTTATGTATTTAAACACTCATTTGCAGCAATAAGAGGCATCTGAAATTTGCAAACAATTTGTGATTCTTCTCACCCAAACGAGAAAAATTTCTTATCAAATTAAACAGAATTCTAATTGGGACCTATCATGGTAGTTTCGGCATTGTGAGTGTTACTATGATGCATATGCAGCACCATGCCTTTTTTAACCCAACATAGTAACTTTTGGACATTATACAATGATTAGAAAACACTGCTTGCTAATTTGATACTGTTTTGCAGCACTGGCTGATTAGAACAATTTTTTTATTGAATTAATATATCATGGTGTAGAATTGTTGCAAAATGTTAGGACAAAAAAAAATTAGAGGCATGTTGCCATAGGGCACCATGGACTTTCACCTAGTCTTGGGGAGACTAATAGGAATCATGAAACAACAATGAAATTGTGATGAAAGCCGAAATTATTCCTAGAAAACAGTAATTTTTCGTAAGTGATGAAGGTGGTGATACTGATTTTACAGTTAGAATTATTGCACTCTTTTCCAAATAATATTCTTGCTCTTCCAAAGAAAAACTGTTTTTCTTATCACAAGCAAGTGTTTAAGAATCTAGTTTCAAACAGAATTGTTACTACAAGATTGCACTTTTCATATATGTACTCTTGATTCTTTTTATTGAGAAGTTTTGGACAAGAGTTGAGAATCTTTTTATATTAATCTGGAGCAGACAAGTAATAAGAAAAAAGAAAAACAACAATTTGATTGCCAAGCCACAGACATTAATAGTATATGCCAAAACTGGATGCAAGAACAATTTCATCTGAGATCACATTAGAATTTCACTCAGCTCAACTGTCAGAAAATTCATATGTTTTTGTTTATAGTTCCAACCAATCTGTGATCATATCGGTTTCAGTGCCAAATTTCTCTTCTGAAAAGTCTGAACAAAATCCTGCTTATGCATTACATTTGCAGTTGAAGATTTAAACTTAAATGCTGTTGAGTCTTTACGTGGATGTCCGTGCATAGCTGTCGGTAAACATCTCTGCGGTCCTGCAACAGGTGATCAAATATTTATAAGGTCATTTTTGACACATATGGACCCTAAGAATTGTAGAAAATTTTCCATTAAATACAAGTTGTTGCCACTTCTACTAAGTTGTGTCTGTTTTCGCCCTAAAACTTGATCCAGATTTGAGTCTAAGATGCTGCCTGGCTGAATACTCCGGTGAAGGTAGTGTCGAGCAGTGTGGTGGAAATCCTTCTTTAAGAGGCCTTGCTATAGCAACATGCTGTCATCATCTTTGCCAGTGGAAGCACTACATAAGTAATAATCAGTTAGCCTTTAATCCTTGCGAATAATGCAAATAGTTGAACTGTGGTGGACTCCTTATATTTATGATCTAACTCTGGTATTTTTGGCTGCCTCACAGACAAATCCTACTTGTCCAAATTCGGAATTTCGAAAGAGGAATTCCATGCAATCACATGGTTTACTAGTTGGGCAGTTGATGGTGATCACGGTTCTGGTGTTTCCAATGTCATTGATTGCGGAATGCATATTCACATGTAATTTCATTAATAGTGTAGAAAAAATTGGTTTATTATGCTTCTTTGGAATCTGAATGAGGAATTTCATGTAATCAGAAACTTATATATATTTGATGTTTTGACAGTGAGAAGGAGCATTCAGGCAGTGTTGCAGATACTGTGAGGAAAATGGAGCAGTGTGAAAGGGCAGTTCTAGGGTTGATGTGCAAGCAGATTATAGACATGGGGAGATTGATGTGGGTTAAGGAATGTGGGCTAGAAACAGACCTTGTAAAGTACGTACCGCCAACCATCTCTCCAGAAAATCATTTGCTGATTGGTAGACAGGTCAGCCAGTTGTAAAACAGTCTCTCTCTGAGTTTTGAGGTTCTAAGATTAGAGAGGACAAAAAATTTGTTATTTGGTGAGCCTGAATTCACCCCACATCACCTGTCTGGATTTTTTTTTTTTTTTTAAAAAAAAAAAGGAAAACGAGTTGGGTTTGATGGGTCAGGTTAATTTTAAATCAAATCCAGTTTTTATCGAATTCAAATTTTATGGAACCCGTCCTAAACCCGGTATGCTGACATTGTCTTTGTAAGATCAACATATGCATCTAGGAAAGTGTTTTTGGTTTCATAAACAGAAGATTTGGTTCTTTATTCATATATGGAGTCAGTTTTTGGTTTTTCCTTTTTCAAGCCTCTTATCCTTTGATCAGACATTACATTATTATTTTTCTGAAACTCAAAATCACAGATTAATTTCTTAATTATAACCAAAATCAAACTCTCTTCTGATAACGGCAGGATAACCAACCTTCTCCTCAATTAATTTAGGTAACATCCACAACTTTGCTTTGAAAGAAAAAATCGTAGGAGTAATCCTTAGAGCAAAGCAAATCCAAGAGTAACTTCTCCACATAACCAGACAAATGCAAAACAGGCGCAACTTAGTAGAAGAAAGTACTTTACGCCAATATTCTTCCTTCTTGCCTTTTCATTGTCCATAACATGAGTCGAACTAGTCAGAATAATATATTCAAATAATTTTTAAAAAAAAAAATATTATTGTTATTATTATTATAACTTTTATAATGAATTTTTATTGTTAATTAACTTGTAAAATTCCATGAAGAAGAAATATAAATTTCACAAAATTTATGAAAAATGGAATTTTAACATTCAATGTAATGATGTGCACAAATCCGTCCAAATACGTGTTGGAACGACTCTCCTGGACAACAAACAAAAGCTACGCACGGCAGTTGCCCAATTACCTCCACCTGCTTCACGCAAAGATGAAGAATAACCAAAAAAAAGAAAAAAGAAAAGCAAAATGCCCATTCCGAAAATAAAATAAACAACAGTGTCATATCTTTTCTTGCTTTATTTAATCAACAAAACATTTTCTTTCCCCTCTGGTTTTTTCCGAGAATGTTAGGAAGAGACAAGAGTCCAGATTTGAAATTCCAAATTATTTCATTTCGATTCCTTTCACACCCCATTCAACACAATTATCTCCAAATTTTCTTGGAAGGATAAGGATGTTACGTCATCTCATACGTAATCTTAAACCCACCTCCAAACACTTCATTCACAGTCGCCACTTCTCTACAAATTCTCCCCCACCTCACCTTCTTTCCCACTCCATCTTCTACACTCAACTCGCACAGACTACCGCTTTAATGGACCCCAAAGGTACCATCGTCTTCACCACAGTTGGCAGGCCTCAGTATGGCTTGGACGTTTTCTCTCTTCAACTCCCATTTCAATCTGCCTCCACTCCCGAGCGCCGCCTAACTGATGGCATTTCCATTAACTTCATGCCCATTCGTCGA